GGTTTGTCGTCTGCCACTTTAAATGCAGGAGCTCTATAATTTTCAAACAATATATATATATATATATATATATATTTTATAGTTAATTTGCTAGAAAAGAAAATTGCTCTGAAATTGATTCCACAAAAGGTTTCTCTGTGCCGTTATTATTATAGCTGTGGTGTGGACTCTACTATTCTTTTATACTTTTTTGAACTGATTTTGAACTGGCCTTTAGCAAGGAAAAGAGAAAGGTATTCAGGATAGCGATTGTGAAAATAATAGCTTACCAATGTTTTTAAACAGAGTCCCCCCTCACTACTGACCATTGAGGGGATTCTTAACCCAAAATACTCATTTTGATAATGTAATTTGTGTTGGCAAACAAAAAGTATCTAGCTGCAAGGAGTCAATTTTTCATTCAGAGTAATGTAACCGAGGTCAAAATTGAGCTAATCAGAAAAATAAATATAATGTTTAATAATTATATTCTCACTCAAAATGCTGAAAAAGTAACATAATGTGTTGCTAAAGTCATTCTGCTGTGCCTTGAACATTAAAATAATTAAATTAACTATGATAATTAAAGCGTGACGTTTGTCATAAGACAGGCGCTGTGTATGACGTCACTGAGATGAGACGCGTAATTGGCATAGACAGTAAAAGAAATGGACACAGCGACCCCATTGATTTCAACAGTGAAGACTGAAGCCTGATTATTGCACTTCCTGCGTGAAGTCTGGGTGACTGTGCAATCTCAAAATGAGCCTGGCGACAGTCTGACAGTTGTAAATCTTCTAGTAGCTGTGCCAAGACAAATCTGAATCACTTTCAATTCCTGAAAAACGTTGTTGAAATATTTTGTGCCTTTGCTTTTATGGACTCTCTATCTATGGGCTTCTCCCTTGACTTTATGTCTCCATGTCCCCCCGATTGCCTCATAGACAGTAAAAGATTGCCTACGAGTTTCTCCTCCTGTCTATAAGGTAATGTCTCCATTGTGCGACAGAAAGTTGCAATCGTTAGCCTATTTTTAGAAAAACGGATTATACGAGCCGTAACGTAAGATACAAAGTAATGCAGCCTTTTATACATTGTCGTGTTTTTTAAAAATAAATAATGGACAAATTAAGTTTTTGGACACTTCAGATGTAAAGTTATTCGCTGTCAAAGTGATGCCAAAATGATGCTAAAATGAATGGGAGTGAATGGAATGCTAACAGCAGGTGAAGTTCTGCTGCAATGGCGGCTCCCGCGAGGCTTCAGTTTCCAGCTGATGGATTACCCCCTTGGTAATTGCAGAGAGAGCATGAGCTTCACGGATCCAATGTGATCACACCTTATTCCAGTAGATGGCGGTAATGCACATAGATTGCAAACTGCCAATAAAAGTCACAGAACAAGAAGAGCTTCACAGATCGTGAGTGTAATCAAAGTGAAATAAAAGGCAAATATAACATACCCACACTTGAGGCAAAGTATGTGAACCCAGCTGAAGTCCAAAGAATGGTCGTTGAGCACATTATGAAAAGTGACGGAGGTTCATCTTCTAATGTTTCGTTCAGGCTATGAGTATTCTCAGGCAAAGTTCCTTGCCCTACTGGCGAAGTTGATTATGACACCTGGAGGAACAGTGTACAGTGAATTTTTCGAGACCCTTCACTGTCTGACATACATCGATCTAGGAGGATCTTAGACGGCCTACTGCTGCCAGCATCTGAAATTGTCAAGCAGTTAGGCCCAAAAGCCTTACCTGTTGCTTACCTCGATATCTTGGACTCCGCTTTCGATACCGTAAAGGATGAAGATGACCTTATTGCAAAGTTTCTGAATATGCTGTAAAACACAGGTGAAAAGCCTTCATCGTACTTGCAACGGTTTCACACTAACCTTCTCAAAGAGATGAAAAGATGTGGTTTTCCTGCTGATAAAGCTGACCGACAACTTCTGAAACAATTCTGTCGGGGTTGTTGGAATGACACACTAATAGCAGACCTTCGGCTTCAGCATAAAAGAAACAGACCACTCCCATTCCCTGAGCTACTCTTGCAGTTCCGCAGTGAGGAGAACAAACACTTTTCCAAAGAAAGCTGCATGAGACAGCATCTAGGCGCACAGAGACAAAGATCCAGTCCCATTTTGTCTCTGTTAATCCCCTTGATCTTGGTCAAAATGAAATATCAGAAGGAACTCAGGTCAAAGAATTAAAAATAATTAAAAAGTCACTAAGCTCCAGACTCAGCTTGTCAAGCAAAAGAATAAACAGACTGGAAGAAGTGTGTTGACTTTGACCGACGCTGTTGAAGTCACAGAGCTCCAGAGTCAGTGGCGAGACATACAAGGGCTATCACTTGTCAGCCTAGTCTCAGGAAGTCAACAAATATGAGCAATTTGAAGTCCGATAGACCAGGGGTTCTCAACTCCAGTCCTCGCGACCCATTGCTCTGCATATCGGTCTTTGTCAGGTGACGTCACACTCGTGATACACGAAGTGCATTATGGGCGTAGACGCCATTTGTAAGGTATCGATGCTGGTGTATTCTGTTGTTGGAGAATTGTTTTTTCATTCTTTTTTTTCAAAATAAACCATCCTTAACATGGCACTATCATGCATCATCAATACAGAAAACCTATCTTTGCTGTTACTAACTTTACAGGATTTATGTACATTCCTACCGAAGGATACAGGAACTTGGTGAAATGTCCGCAGGCTTTAAGAGATGTATAGATTTTAAATTGTTCACTGGGAACGTTATATGCGCTTATACCATAAACAAGATAGTTGACAAAGCCCAAATATGAGGATGAGAAAGCAATGCGGGATCAGCACTCCAGCTTATTGTAGTCAGCTGAGCTCAAATATGGATCTATGTTCTGAATGGATGACAATTTCTCTAAAAAAAAAAACGGTACCTGCCATATTTATTGAGTTTATTGCGGTACGGCATTTTCTCAGTTTCTTTTTTTCTTAGTTTTTTCTCAGATAGACATAGAGTCTATCCTAATGAGCTGAGGATCTGAATCAGGTGTGTTAAATAAGGGAGACTTACACAATATGCAGAGCAGTGGGTCGCGAGGACTGGAGTTGAGAACCCCTGCCATAGACAATGGCGTCCAGCTGGACTATCCAAAGGATTTATCGACACAAAGTGCACTGCTCTAGTGAACATCGAGGGAAACCCTTGTCCTTGTTAACTTGACAAAAGTGACCCCATTTCCCAGTCTTTTTATGAGCAAAATCTGCCTGGATTAAGCATAATTTATTTGGGGAAAAAACTGCTGGAAATATAAACAGCAAATGGTCAAGCAGTACCTTTTTGTTTCGTTTTGTTTGGGTCTGTTTGGGATGTTTAAGTTTCAACTCTTGCTTTGGTGATCCCAGAAACTGGTGGTACTGCCCAGACAAAGGTGTTAATAGGCACAAACACTTTGGATCTTGCATATGATGAGTACCATGAAACCAATGATTCAGATTGTCAAGCTGTTCCATTTGGCTACAGAGCCGTGATTCAATCTGTTCACTCAATGTCCAGTGTCCATGCAAAATCTGACAAAGAACTCTACTTCAACTTTGGTGATTCCTGTCTACCAGAGGAGTGGAGGAAGAGAATCACCCAGAAACTGCGTGCCATTCCCGAAGTCTTTGCGCTGCATTACATGGATCTTGTTCAAACAGACAAAGTAAAACACAGTATCAAGTTACACTATGAAACCGCCTTCAAGCATAAAGCAAGACCAATCCATCCCAACGATTTTGAAGCTGTCCGTCGACATCTAGAGGAACTGCTTGAATCAGGAATCATTTGTGAGTCAGAATCATCTTCTCTTATCACTGTGGTAAGGAAGAAGAATGGTGACATAAGACTTTGTATTGACTACCGCAAGTTGACTATTCTGAACTGCCACCTTAACGTGGTGGAGGGGTTTGAGTACCCGAATGACCCTAGGAGCTATGTTGTCTGGGGCTATATGGTAGGGTCTCCCAAGGCAAACAGGTCCTAGGTGACGGGTCAGGCTAAGAGCGGTTCAAAAACCCCTTATGAGAACAATAGATTTAAGGACCGTGACGTCGCCCGGTATGGCGCAGCCAGGCCCCACCCTGGAGCCAGGCCCGGGGTTGGGGCTCGTATGCGAGTGCCTGGTGGCCCGGCCTCTCCCCACGGGGTCCGGCTGGGCTCAGCCCGAAGAAGCGACGTGGGACCGCCTTCCCGTGGGCTCACCACCTGCAGGAGGAGCCGTAAGGGGCCGGTGCAAAGAGGATCGGGCGGCAGTCGAAGGCAGGGGCCTCGGCGACCCAATCCCTGGACACAGAAACTAGCCTTAGGGACGTGGAACGTCACCTCGCTGGCGGGGAAGGAGCCGGAGATTGTGCGTGAGGTTGAGAGGTTCCGACTAGAGATAGTCGGGATCACCTCTACGCATGGCTTGGGCTCTGGAACCACACTCCTTGAGAGATGATGGACTCTTCACCACTCTGGAGTTGCCCATGGTGAGAGGCGACGGGCTGGTGTGGGTTTGTTAATAGCCCCCAGCTCAGCCGCCATGTGTTGGAGTTTACCCCGGTGAACGAGAGGGTCGTTTCCCTGCGCCTACGGGTCAGGGATAGGTCTCTCACTGTCGTGTGTGCCTATGGGCCAAACGGCAGTGCAGAGTACCCGGCCTTCTTGGGGTCTCTGGGAGGAGTGCTGGAAAGTGCTCCAACTGGGGTCTCCGTCGTTCTACTGGGGGACTTCAACCCTCACGTGGGCAAAGACAGTGACACCTGGAGGGGCGTGATTGGGAGGAACGGCCCCCCCGACCTGAACCCGAGTGGTGTTCAGTTATTGGACTTCTATGCTAGTGACAGTTTGTCCATAATGAACACCATGTTCAACCATAAGGGTGTCCACCAGTGCACGTGGCACCAGGACACCCTAGGTCGTAGGTCTATGATCGACTTTGTGGTCGTTTCATCTGACCTGCGGCCGTATGTCTTGGACACTCGGGTGAAGAGAGGGGCGGAGCTGTCAACTGATCACCACCTAGTGGTGAGTTGGATCCGATGGCGGGGGAGGTGGCTGGACAGACTTGGCAGACCCAAGCGTACTGTAAGGGTTTGCTGGGAACGTTTGGCCGAATCTCCTGTCAGAGAGATCTTCAACTCTCACCTCCGGCAGAGCTACGACCAGATCCCGAGGGAGGCTGGAGATATTGAGTCTGAGTGGACCATGTTCTGCACCTCCATTGTCGAAGCGGCTGCTCGGAGCTGTGGCCGTAAGGTCTCCAGTGCCTGTCGAGGCAGCAATCCCCGAACCCGGTGGTGGACACTGGAAGTAAAGGATGCCGTCAAGCTGAAGAAGGAGTCCTATCAGGCCTGGTTGGCTTGTGGGACTCCGGAGGCAGCTGACAGGTACCGGCAGGCCAAGCGGACTGCGGCCCGGGTGGTTGTGGAGGCAAAAACTCGGGCCTGGGAGGAGTTCGGTGAGGCCATGGAGAAGGACTATCGGCTGGCCTCGAAGAGATTCTGGCAAACTGTCTGGCGCCTCAGGAGGGGGAAGCAGTCCCCCACCAATGCTGTTTACAGTAGGGGTGGGCGGCTGCTGACCTCAACTGGGGATGTCGTCGGGCGGTGGAAGGAATACTTCGAGGATCTCCTCAATCCCGCCGCCACGTCTTCCATTGAGGAAGCAGAGACTGAGGGCTCAGAGGTGGACTCGTCCATCACCCTAGCTGAGGTCACCGAGGTAGTCAAGAAACTCCTCGGTGGCAAGGCACCGGGGGTGGATGAGATCCACCCTGAATACCTCAAGTCTCTGGATGTTGTGGGGCTGTCTTGGTTGACACGCCTCTGCAGCATCGCGTGGCGGTCGGGGACAGTGCCTCTGGGATGGCAGACCGGGGTGGTGGTTCCTCTTTTTAAGAAGGGGGACCGGAGGGTGTGTTCCAACTACAGGGGGATCACACTTCTCAGCCTCCCTGGGAAAGTCTATGCCAGGGTACTGGAGAGGAGAATACGGCCGATAGTGGAACCTCGGATTCAGGAGGAACAGTGTGGTTTTCGTCCAGGCCGTTGAACACTGGACCAGCTCTATACTCTCTACAGGGTGCTGGAGGGTTCATGGGAGTTTGCCCAACCAGTCCACATGTGTTTTGTGGATTTGGAGAGGGCATTCGACTGTGTCCCCTGAGGCAGCCTGTGGAGGGTGCTCCGGGAATATGGGGTCCGGGGTCCTTTGCTAAGGGCTGTCCGGTCCCTGTATGACCGAAGCAGGAGCTTGGTTCGCATTGCCGGTAATAAGTCAAACTTCTTCCCAGTGCATGTTGGACTCCGGCAGGGCTGCCCTTTGTCGCCGGTTCTGTTCATAATTTTTATGGACCGAATTTCAAGGCGCAGCCAGGGGCCGGAGGGTGTCAGGTTTGGGGACCGCACGATTTCGTCTCTGCTTTTTGCGGATGATGTTGTCGTGTTGGCCCCTTCACATCTGGACCTTCAGCATGCACTGGGGAGGTTTGCAGCTGAGTGTGAAGCGGCTGGGATGAGAATCAGCACCTCCAAATCCGAGGCCATGGTCCTCAGTTGGAAAAGGGTGGCTTGATCACTTCAGGTTGGTGGAGAAATCCTTCCTCAAGTGGAGGAGTTTAAGTATCTTGGGGTTTTGTTCACGAGTGAGGGAAGGATGGAACGGGAGATTGACAGACAGATCAGTGCAGCTTCTGCAGCAATGCGGTCGATGTACCGGTCTGTTGTGGTGAAGAAGGAGCTGAGCCGTAAGGCAAAGCTCTCGATTTACCGGTCAATCTACGTTCCTACTCTCACCTATGGTCATGAGCTTTGGGTCATGACCGAAAGGACAAGATCCCGGATACAGGCGGCCGAAATGAGCTTTCTCCGCAGGGTGGCTGGGCGATCCATTAGAGATAGGGTGAGAAGCTCGGTCACTCGGGAGGAGCTCAGAGTAGACTATTCAGACTATCAAAGATGCATATGCCACACCCAACTTGGAGGAAACCTTTTCAGCACTTCGAGGTTTGAAATGGTTCTCAGTGCTTGATCTCAAATCTGGGTATTACCAGATCAAAGTAGAAGAGAAGGACAAACCCAAGACTGCCTTTGTATGACCATTGGGTTTTTGGAAGTTCAATAGGATGCCTCAGGGCATCATTAACGCTCCCAGCACATTCCAAAGGCTGATGTAGAAGTGCAAGGGTGACATCAACCTTTCAGAAGTCCTAGTGTTCTTGGATGATTTGACTGTCTTATCGGATACTTTGGAAGAGCACGAGAGAGGCCTTCTTTAGGTTTTGGGACACTTGAAAGACTATGGATTAAAGCTTTCATTGGAAAAATGCAGGTTTATCCAGACGTCAGTGAAATACTTTGTCACATTGTCTCAGAAAACGGTGTGCAGATGGATCCCCAAAAGATAGAAGCCATTAAGACCTGGACAAGTTCAAGGAATCTGAAAGAGTTGCGTTCCTTTCTAGGTTTCTCTTGTTATTACCGACTTTATTAAGGACTATGTGAAAATAGTGAAGCCATTGACTGCACTAACCATGGGCTATCCTCCTCTTCAAAAAAGTAGCATTTCCTAGCCCTGAAATGGGCAGTTACAGAGAAATTTGGCGACTATCTTTATGGGAGTAGTTTCAAGGTGATCACAGACAGCAACCCCCTCACTTATATTTTAACCTCAGCCAAGTCGGATGTGACTAGCTGGTGGTTGTCTGCCTTGTGTACTTTCTCCTTTACCCTCCAGTATCGTCCTGAAAAGAACAATCTCGATGCAAATGCCCTCTCAAGACGGCCTCATTGTGATATAGTAAATGATTTAACATCTCAGAAAGAACAAGATCGAATACGTTTGTTTGCCTTGTATCACTCACTTGAAGCCGCCAATTCCACCCTTGTTTCCAATAACGTAATACAAGTATTCATCTGGTGACAGAAATTGTATTACTCATTTTGAGTCACTCTCTATGTGCCTGGAAGCGATTCCAGAATATTACGAGGTGATGGAAGGATCTTCAGTTGTTCCCTGTATGTCAGTACAGGAGAAAAAGAAAAACAAAGAAAAGATCCAGCCATGCGAGCACAGAGATGTATAAAGTACTAGAAACCTGGACTTGAGTAAAAGTACAAGTGCTCTATCAAAAAGTGACTTGAGTAGAAGTTGAAGTGTTCTTTAAGCACCACACTTAAGTAGAAGTACTAAAGTATTCAACATTTTTTGAACTTAAGTATTGCAAGTACTTTATTTTAAAATTCACTACTTAAGTACTAAAAGTAATCAAATAAGGCGCTTTGGCGGGATACAAATTTGCTTTGGCGGACGCTAAAAAATGTCAATGCAGGACAACCCCTGCATTAGTTGTCAATGTGTGTGTCAATCAATACCATTACCCTATAAAACTGGCGTGTGATTTAGGCAGCATGAAAGCCAACTTGCAATGAATGATTTGTAAAATTTTTATAATTGTAACAAGTAACTAGAAGAACAATAAAAAATATCGAAGTAAAAGTATTAAATTCATCGAAAATATCTACTGAAGTAAAAGTAGAAGTATGAGGAAAAAAAACAATACTCTAGTAGAGTACAGATACAGCATTTAGTACTTAAATAGTACTTAAGTAGCTCTACTTCGTTACTATACATCTCTGCAGACCTGCACATGAGACGCGTAGAACACCTTCCCCTCTGAGCTCTGAGTGAGCGAGCTGTGTCAGTGTGTATCTGTCAAAATAGTGAGAGCGATGGAGAAGAAACGCAAGGAATTAGTGCAGAGAAATAGCATGAAAAAAAAGAAACGTCAAGGCACTTCAAGTGGTTGATGAGGATAGTGAGGACGATAAGGAGAGAGATGAAGAGTGAGTGCAGAGAACTGTGGTAAGCAGAACTAGGCTACTTTCATAACAGGCTATCGTAAAATTTCAAATAATAGCCTGCGGGCTTTTATTTCCCCAAATCGTCAAACTGCAGAGACTGCTCATATAGGCTAGACATCTAGCCTATATGAGACTGGCCATTATAATTTAGTGTTGAGATGTTGTTCATAGAGTCTCTGATCTGATGGTTTTAAAAGATTAACAACTTGAAACTAAAAAAACAGACCCGGCCTCTATTTGAGACCGGCCTTTATTTACCCAAACCTGCGGCCACACCAGGCTTCTATTTGGGACTCGGCTATTATTTGAAGTTTTACGTTATTTAGGAACCCACACTACCCGCATTATTTCCACATCTGCATATGTAACGGAGGCCAGCTAGTAGTTGCTGTGCGAGTAAACCTCACTCCCCGATCTCAATAGACGCTCTAGCGACAGACGCTAGAGGCTGCAGTCTTTAGCCTCCTTGTTAGAGCGCTCGACTCTCACGCCGGAGACCCGGGTTCGAGGCCCGCTCGGAGCGGGGCGAGTAGGACCCGGGTGTGAGGAGTTACATTGGTGCCGTGACCCGGATGAGAGTGAGGTTTAGGGGGGTGAGTGTAACGGAGGCCAGCTAGTAGTTGCTGTGCGAGTAAACCTCACTCCCCGATCTCAATAGACGCTCTAGCGACAGACGCTAGAGGCTGCAGTCTTTAGCCTCCTTGCTAGAGCGTCCGACTCTCACGCCGGAGACCCAGGTTCGAGGCCCGCTCGGAGCGGGGCGAGTAGGACCCGGGTGTGAGGGGTTACACATATTTCACGATTACGCATTTTATTAGAATTGTAATGAGAAAAGTCTGTAAAGTGTAAATCATGTTTTTCGCCAAAATAAAAGATTGATGCTGTTTCCGTCAAAATAAATATCATGTGCTTGTCTCTTTCAAGTATAGAAATTAGTATGAAGCTAATTATGACGGTTGCTTTTATTTTTCAGTGCTTTTGTTTTACAACATATGGCTATTACTGCCATGGGATTAACATTATAACTAGTATTATGTAGTTTAATGTAAATAATAATACATTTAATTTATAATGCACTTTTCTTAAACCCAAAGCGCTAGACAGACACTATATCACAACTAAAAGAGTTTTGAGTTTTTCTTTGTTCAATTTGGGGAGCATGCCCCCAAACCCCCCTAGAGGGACAGAGGTGCACTCACCACATATTTCACAAAATACTGAGGGAAAAATAGGTATTGATATCCCAATGCAGCTTATAGCTTGTTTTAGGATGACTATAGTTCAACTTAGTAGCTATTTCATCTGTTAACTTTTACTCACTCCTATTCACTTACACATATTCAAGGGCATGCAAAGTTTGGTTGTGTTTATGATCATAATGTAGTGGGCCAGTCTGGGCCAAAATGGCATCAATTTTTTGTTCCAGTCCAGCCCTGGTCCGGCGTATAGGCAATTATATTTTATGCGACAAAGGAAATCGTGAAAGAGATGGGAATGGAGATGTAGTTGTACAAATTAATTCTAAACATTACAAACATATTTTTTTATTAATTAAAAAATGCCTTTCTGTTCCGTTTAAACATGTTTAGAGTTAAAGAGTTTCAGTATGTTATGTGAGCACTTCTTGTGTCCTTGTGCCTAAATCAGATTACATTTCTTCACTCATTTTTAATTCTGGGCTGAGGCCAGAGTAATTCAGGATAAAAACATCTGGCACAAGGACGACACCGCAACAGTATCCCACCTGGGATCTCATCTACACAATCCATTACATGCCTTTCAGTCCCCCAACAAGCAGCTTAAATTACTAAACACATGCCAGAGCTTGCAAACAATAACACCAATAGTCAGCGACGCCTTGACATGCACAATAATCTTCATTGGCCATTGTCAGTGATGACACACACTTCCTCCTGTAGTATTGATTTGGTCTTCATCCTATGTTTTTTGAAAACCAACCAAGTAATATTAGCTGTCAGTTGGAAATCATATTCTTTTTGGCCACAATTCAAAGCATTCCTACTGTATGATGTTGGTATTCTGTTCAAGTGTCAAACTCTTTACCTATTTGGCTCTTGCACATGGTTTAATATCACATTTCAAGAATCAGACTGAATGTAGGGTGGGAAGACATGCCTTGGCAAGCTATGGCCAGGTTTAGACTAGTATGGTCTTGTATTCATAATGTGACTGGTAAAATGCAGCACTACAGGCCATTGATTTTAAAACTGGTCTCCCTGAAGGCCACAAGAAGATTCTAGGGGTTCTTGGAAAATTTGAGAGAGAGAAAAAGAGACTGGAAATAGCTATTAAAAAATACATTTTAATGCTGTCTATAGAGTAACCCTAAAACGGTTAAAACATTATTTGGTGTGAAATAGGGCTGCACAATTTGGGCAAAATGTCATATTGAGATTATTGTGGTCAATATTACGATTGCGATATGCGACTGCGATATGATAAACAAATGATATCATGAGTCAACTTGCTTGGTTCTCAAGGAAAAAAAATGCACACACATGTAACCTTTGGCTTTAAAATTGTCAACCAACCGGACTACGCCACCCCCAAACAAAGGACCCTAACAAAGTTTTTTTTCTTTTTTTTCCTTTTCCTACACAGGCGGTTCAATTAAATGATCCAGAATCCAGAGTACAAAATGTTGAGTTACTTTATTAAATGACAAACACCGTCCTTCTCTTATAACAGCATACTTGGTTTGCAACAATGTTAATCAATGAAATAAAAAACCCAAGCACATTGAACAAACTACCACAGTTCACTCCAATCTCACCCAAGTTTCACTCTGAGAAAAAAATAGAAACTTAAAGGAAACTTCAAAAAAAATGAAAACAATGTTCAAAACCAACCAAAAATACAATTAAATAAAATAAATCAATAATTTACACCTCAGATTAATGAATCTGACCAATCATAATTTAAAGAAAGAACAAAAGAAACAGGAATAACACTTAAAGTAGCACAAATCAATCTGAAATAATGAAATGGGAAATACACCCCATGGGAGGAAATTAACCATGGCACAAATCAAAGTAAATCAACCATAACACATCAAACACAACCCAAAAAGACCTCCCAGGAAGCGATAACTTAAACAGATTTCAGAAAGGAATCATAACTACCACAAGACTTAAAGTATAACAAATAAACAAAACACAAAGTAATTGAATTAAATTCCTAGATAAAACAAACAACTTTTGAAAATAATTGAAACAAGAAGGTTTAATTATGACAAATCAACAAAATATAAAGTAATCAAATTCCAAAATAAGACAAACAACCTTTGAAAATAATTGAAACAACAAAATTAAATTATAACAAATCAACAAAATATAAAGTAATCAAATTCCAAATTTGATGAGGGAAAAGAAACGGCGGCCTCTTGCCAAGAAAGGGTTTAACGTTCTTGATACGCTACAACTCACTTAATGGAGGATTACAATAAGTCTCAATGAAAGCAGACGTGTTGAAATGCAGCCGGCAACTCAGCAAAGTATTAATACTCGTTGCTGGTACGGTACGGCTCACTTAATGGGTGATTATGATCAAAGTATTAATGCTCCATGTTCTCAGAACAATCGTTGGTGCAGGAAAGACCTTTATCAATGGATCAACTCTTTCCACGCGCCAGCAGAGGAAGAAACACAACTCGCTCCTTGAGCGTAGAACGAGGGCCAGACAAACCCCTTTCCTTACCGCCCACGAGACTTTAAGCAGCCTACTCATTACGTCATCTGCCCATTTAAAGGGATAGTCTACTCATTCCGGTTACACACAGATGAGGGATAATGCTGAAATGTGTATTTCTCAACTCAAACCACCAACAACAAAAAATAAATGTAGTGTTTCCAAATTAAAATATTTTTACAAAATTAAATACGATATTTGCATTACTGAAAACTTCTTATTGTCTCAATACTATAACAACTACATAAAATAAATAGAACAATGAATCAGAAAATTTGTATATTCATGAAAATAAGATATTTGGAACATTCTGTCTAAACAAACAGAGACATTTAAGCAGGATGTAACATGCTTTGTATAAACTTTCAAAAAGGAAACTGGATATAACCATGGTTCACACAAATAAACCATGAACACTGTTATTGGCCATTAAAAAAAAAGAAAAAGAAACAATTGGTACTTCCAAATCCCCTTCCTAAAAAGCTCTACTTACCACTTGAGAGGTTCTTTGCCAAAAAAACAAGCATATCCACCTTCTCTGGTTTCAGACAAGAGCGATGATTTGATACAATATTACCACTAGTGCTAAAAACTCTCTCTGATGCAGAGCTTGTTGCTTGTATGCACAGATATTTCTGTGCAAGTTTGCATAGCTTAGGGAAGTTTATTTTGTGAAAACTTTTGTGAAGATCCACTTTCAGTGGGTCTTCTCCATGGTCTACACTTGGCATGTAAATGTAAGCGTTGAGTTCAGCATCCACTGCTTCTCTAAACTCTACCTTGGGATCAAATGTGGTTGATGCTGTTGATGTTTTCTGTGTGTTTTCCTTGAAGAAACTGGCCAGGGTTTTCTTCTTGGCTTTAGCAGCAGGTGGATTTTCCATGTCTAGGCTATCCTTATCCATCGCTGCATTGCTTGTTAAGGCTACAGGCTGCTGCTGCTGCCGCCGAATTTCCTGAAACAAATAAAGAAATGCATGTTTAAGAAATCTGTTACATGGAATTGTTGACAGTTAAGTAAACACTGGGTTTTCTTTTCACTCACGATCAACTCAGAGATGATTCGTTCCTTTAAGGTCAGGGTCTCTTCTGCTGACATGTATTGTGTTCGGAACCTTGGGTCTGGAAATGTGGGCATATTTAGTACTTACCACCCGTGTGCTTATTTATTTATTTATTTATTTATTTATTTATTTTATCTATCTTCCCACGCCTTTAAGTTCAGAAAAGTCTGAGTAAGAACCAGTTAACAAACACGGTGATTAATGTCACGTCCTGTTATTGTCACCTGTGTCACGTTATATGTTTAGAATAGCCTTATCCGATGGCATTATAGGATAGACAGTACGGCTGACGGAGAAGATTTCAGAACTAGTGACACGCATCCAAACTTTAATTGAGGATTGTAAGAATGCTAGATCTTTAGATAGCATTTTGGATGCGCATAGCATAGTGAACTGATTTTGATGATTTTGGTTCCAGCTGAAGTAGAGCCTGTGCAGCAGGGCAGATGGGTGACGGTTAGGGGTCGCCGCTCTAGTCGCGGATCAAAGAACCACTCTTCTGTTCCGATTCCCATAACAAATCGATTTGCCCCACTCAGTGAAACACTCACTGAGAATCCTGTTGAATGTGCCATGGTAATTGATGATTCGAATACACGGAACGTGAAAATAGAGACACCAACCACCATAGTCACATGTTTGCCGGGAGCCAGAGCACTGGCAAATTTAAAAATGCTGGCTTAAGGCGGGCATACACTGTGCAATTTTCGTCCGATTTTGAGCCGAATTCGGATTCGTGCGACTCTTTTTCGTGTCAGACCGATTTTCAGCTTTGTCGTGCGTCCAATGTCGTGCAGTGTTCGTGCAGTGTACAGGGAGAATTGAGAGGCGATTAACCTCTCTTGATCGAGAATCGGATGATCGGATGAATTTCTGGCATGTCAGAAATTTTGGTCGCTCCTCGTGACTATATCGCACAGTTGAAGCAAAGCTACGAACCGATTGCCCTAAACTCAGTGTTTTTTCCCTCAATGCACCTGCGCGAAAACAGAAGTTTAACCATTTCACCTGCAGCACGAATAAAATGAAAAATAAAAAACGAATAGAGGGAGATCTTTAAGTTCTGTAGTTCAAACTAGCTACAAATTACTGTTGCCTCCAGTTCGTATTGCAAAATGGATAATATTACCCACGTCTTCCAAGCCACCTGCGATGTAACGCCTCTTTTATTATTTTGTCAAACAATGTTTTTTAAAAATAAACCTGTTTTTAATTTTCATTGATTATGGCAATGTTCGGACATATAGACTGCTAATAGTTATTTTATATGCCTATAATTCATTGTAATCGACCTAAATGTTTTAGACAATTTTTAATGAGGAGTAAGATTATGTAATATTTTATTATCCTCACAGCACGTTGGTTATGTGTGAAAATATTGCGTGGCAAATTAATTATAATAGTGGATCAATTTAATAATAAAATTAGCCTATAGGCCTCCCCTAATAATGATAATACAATAATATTAATAATAATTAAATGCATAAATTGAAAATACTAAATCATCATGATACTGATAGCAGATGCTTGTTTTGACAATATCTCTGGATACATAGACGTAATTACGCGCGATAAATAGGCGCAGATATTACACGTATAGTGTGAGCAGTGAGGTCGCAGCTCGACGATCGGACCGTACAGTGTGAGCACATAAATCCTAAACTTTGACTTTGAATCGCATGCGATTTACTCGTTGAGTGTGAGAAGGTACCTTGCTGAAATCGTACAGACATCGCAGAGTATGCCCGCCTTTATGCTAATCATAAAATCTCTAAGATCATTATTCATGTGGGCACTAATGATGTTCTACTCACTAAAATTAATATTAAAGAGGTGTGTGAACTCGTAAGTACGATGTCAGGCACTGTAATTTGCTCTGACCCCCTTCCTGTTTGCAGGAGTGATGAGATAGTTAGTAGACTATCCTCACTTAAAGGAGCAAAACGCAACTATCTGAGTTTTTGCAGAACTACGCCCCCACTGACAAAAAGCGAAACTGCGTGCGCGCTCACACACACATACACACACGTTTGCACGAGCTGTTCATAACCAAAGGAGCATCAGCCGCACACTGTGCGGCACACATCTTTTGTTATAGTCATAATGAGGTAATACAGTTATAAATCTGCAGGTCATTTAAAATATATGAAAGGAAAGGCATTCGAGTACACACTTGTGTGTGTGTGTGAGGGCAAAACAGGGGTAGTAGAAAACTTCGGTTTTTGTTTCCATCTATCTCCATATTGCTCCATATTGATTATGTGCTTACTGTATCCACGTATGATTGTATAATGGAAACATGTTCATGAACAATATAAGTTATTATTTTGTATAGGATCTTTTTGAGCACTAGAGTAGACCGGAGATCTCTCCGTTTGTTGAAAGCCTTCCCGATGTTGACTCTCGTCTTATTCCGACGACTGGCACTGGACAGACAGAAGTTGTTTTTTCTTTGTCTCACGTGGAGTTTGCGTTGGGGTTTGGAATGAACTACAAGCCGGTCTCTTTGGGGCTGTTTACACCTGCCACAATGCGTTTTCTCAGATCAGATTTATCAAAACGATTCCATTACACCTGGTCACATAAATGTGTTTTTGCAAAACGGATATAATCTGATCTACAATTCCCGTGCTATAAACAGAATTCTTGAAGTGCACGTCACCGAATGCAACAGATATGAGCTGCATTTTATTAATCATCGGCTAATTTCAAAATCAGCAAAGACAGCAATAAGAGAGAGCGGCAACAGCCCTGGTAAAGATCAGTTCATTTCTTTACCTTTAATGAAGATGGTAGTGTTAAGAGTCTGCGACTTAAATTTCAATTTGATTTGCGATAGGTTGCGGCGCGCTGTCTTGATGAATAGGCGCTCAGCTGCTCATCTGAGGTGATGCGCGTCGTCATATATGACTAAAATAACATGACCTATAGCATGCTTTCAACAACCAGATGCATTTACACTTGTCCAGTTTTGTCTGGAATACGGCCCAGACCACGTCCTCAAGTGATTTGAGCGATCGGATTCAAATCCGTCTCGAATGCGTTTCGGAGGGCAACCTGGTCTTTTCACGATCGAATAGCTATCCGATCACAGAAAACGCATGAAGTAACCAGGTGTAGGCCAAACAGCCCCTTTGAATCCATCTTCTACTTTTGTGGAAAGTTGACTAAAGTTGTGTTGCTCGAGTTGTCTTCTCTGACACTGAGAATGGCGGCGAATACACTACCTGCAAGACATAGGCATATACCCAGGCGAGCGTGAACGCGCATGACGTCACGGTCAGTCTCTTATTTATTTTACTGTACAGAATTATAGAGGAGATCTCAGTGATCCGAGAAGGGCTCATTCAGCCCATCAGGCTATTGTTTAAGCATGTATGGGTTAGAAAACGGCTATTTTTAACATGACATGTTGCGCAATGCACCTTTAAGTCAACAGCATTCATAAACACGCTGTTGATATGTGTGTTGATAGCACGCCAAAAATGGAAATACGAATTGGCGTGTCATACATACGCCATTTCATGAGATCAGTCTGTGGAGGTTGACGCATCAGAGGTTGGGGTTTATGCAGTCCTCTCCCAGTCTCTCTCTTCTCTGTGGATGGGAAGATTCACCATTGATCCAAAAACCTTATTAAACCCAATGTCTTGTTTTGTGTTTTTGAACATTCTGAGTGCCTGGTCTTCCATTCTGCCCCAAAATTTGTGGTTTCAATGGTGAATTGGGACTATTTCTGCACGGCCATAGAAGGGATAAAGCCTCTGTCTGGTTGCCCACTGGTTTGTTTATGACTAAGTTTGACTGTAATAAAACCTGTAATAGCTTAAAAGTTCAGGCAACTCACAAGGCATGAAAGAATAGGGAAACATTTTTAAATTAAAAGTAAATTTGTCCAACTACAGGATATTTCTGCAACAAACATAAAAGTCCTTTTTTTACAGTATATTATCTTCCTTATTTTTTGTATATTCCTCAGAAGCAATGTATATTCCTCATTCCAGTTGTTTTGACTGCGGTAGACCGGTTTTCAAAAGTGACTCACTTTATTAATCTGCCCAAATGACCTTGAGCAGAGAGAGACAGCGTTTGCATCATTGACGCATTCATGGCCTCTCGATAGACTTGGTCTCTGACAGGGGACGTCAGTTTGTGAACAAATTTTGGAGAGAGTTTTGTCCATTGCTGGGGGTGACTGTCTTTCCTATGGGTTTCACCCTCAGAGCAACGGTCAGACTAAGAGGGCCAATTAATATCTGGAGATCTCAAAGTTATTAACTAAGGATTTTTACAATGGAAATGAATCAATCAAAAAACTTAATTAAGCTCGACAATGACTTTCTCCTAGAGCTGTACAGCCAAAACAATCTTTGTTGGATTAAATTCTTATTATGAATGTAAAGCTGCTTTGAAACAATCTGTATTGTTAATGAAGGTGACTTGACTTGACATTCCTCTCTGCTCCATTTGTCATAAGCTTGCTCCTAAATTCATTGGCCTGTTTCCTGTCACCAAAATCATTAATCCAGTGGCAGTCCACTAAAACCCCCTCCAGCATACAGGATAATTTATCCCATCTTTCAACCCATCTCTCATGTTCTGACGTTTTCTGTTACTGCCCAGTTTCTGAGTATGGACTTGGACTTAATCGCTTGGATTACCCATTTGCTGTGTGCTATTCTTGGATTTCACCAGTCTGTTGGTCTGCTTACCTGCCCAACTCAGGCTGTCACCACGAACCCAAAGCCTGCTTCATTCATCTGTTTTCAAAATCTGACCATATGAGTTTCTGCACTGTTTCCAAAAACAATTAATTAAGAAAAATCTATTAAGTAAATCAAATAAAAAAGCAAATACAGATATTTATTTATTTTATTTAAAAAGCAGATATGTTGAACAAAAACCATTTCAGGAATGGTGGAAAGGTACGTGATTTTTCAAGTCTTTGTGTTTAGATCAGTGTGCTTAATAATGTGCCTCTTTGTCCTTTATTAGGTTTATTTGGATTAGGTTTTAAATAAAATGCAACAAATCA